GAGACTAGGGAATTGCACAAGGGCCTCTCACAACCTCAGCCTGGAAGTTCCAACTGTCACTTCTGCGCACATTTCATTGCCAGAATTAGTCCCAGGACCCTGAACGACTACAGGGGGCTGGAAAGTGGCGTTTCCTGTATGCCCCAGAAGCAAAGGAGGAGACAGAGCAGCACTCATACTGCCCACCACACTTCTGAACCAGCAAGTCCAATTGTAGAAAATTATCCTAAGTAAATATTCTGAAAAGTTCACCAAGATATTAGAAGAAAGGATTTCATCATATCCTTGACTACAACAGTAAAAAATAGGAAACAACCTAAGTATACAAGGTCCAACCTACATAGATGTTAAAAGTGATGCAATTACATATTTACGATATAGAAATATACTCACAATATAGTGTTAAAAGGGAAAAAAAGCAAGTTATAAAACAGTATGTATAATATCATTGTATTTCATGAAAAAGTAATAAAACAAATACAGATGCATAGAAAAAACTCGGACAAAGTATATACCAAAATGTTAACAGTGGTTATAATCAGATGGTGTAACAACAGGTGATTTTTTTCTTTTCAATCATCTGTAGTTTCTTAAAAAAAAAAAGTATATATTATTTATATACCAAAAAGGCATTAAAAAAGGGAAAAAAAAAAAAAACCCCAGTACTCTTGGGAGAGTCCACTTATCTGTCTCATACTAATCATTAAATTCTTACATTTGACAGAAGAAATGCCTGATTGCCTGTCACATCATAAGACATTGTTACAACAATTTATTTAAAGTCATGACTTTATATTAAAAGTAGTACAACAGGGTAAAAACAGTAACATATTCCCCACAGCTGCATATCATCAGACCTGTCAATCATCTGCCAAAATGTCCCACTGTCTGGGCTCCACCATAGTTTCTCGGGGCTCCTGCCAGGTGCACCGGGGGTCTGTGTGGCCTGGGGGACCACTCTTCACAAGGCTCTGCATCATCAAAGAGAGTAGGGCACTGTACAATTCCACTTGAAATAAAAGACCCACAAACTCTTCTTCTCATAAATGGATTCCAGAACATATAACATCACCACCAGGAATATTAAAGACTCCTCTCAGGTACACAGATTTTTTATTGAAAACCCTTCCTTGTTGTTTCTTCTGCTTCCCCCCAACACACACACACACACACACACACACACGCGCACACACACATAGTCCTAAGTTCACTAGAACATTTCATCCAGCTGCCAAATTCTTATCAAAGTCACCTTCTTGCCTGGCTGGTGTTTAAAGAGTAACTAGAAAACCCATACTCTTAAGATAGGTGTATGGAAAAGACATGTAAATAACACACATTTCTATACAGTATTCCCTCTCCATGCCGTCACTCCTACCATCCCCAGAATACACAATATTTCTTTTGGGGAAACCATGTACTCGGAAATTAGGATCCTTTAAAACCATGCATACCATTTAAAAATATATACGGACATTGATTTGCAAGCTTCTAGTTTAAATTGTCAGTGCTTCAAAATCCAGTGACGTTTCAAGCGAATATAAGAATCATAACTTTTAGAAAGAAAAAAGGGCACAAACAACTGCTTTCAGTGATTAGCAGAGAGCAGTGGCTGGCTTCGTGTTAAAGGGCAGCCTCTTTCAAGTGCCTGTGCTAAGTCATGTCACAGCTGCCTTCCTTCTAATGGTGCACCTGGCCACATGGGAGGTCCCACAGTAAGGTCCCTGGCATGCCCTGTGGTTGGCTCTCATCCAAAGTCGCTCCTGGTTTCTACAGAAAAGCAGACTTCTCTATAGAAAAAGAGTCTTCAAAGTGGACAGATCACGATGCTTCTGGGCAGCACATTAACTATATTCTGTTCCACCCTTTACTTGATGTTTCACGTCTAATAAAGTGTACATACCAGTCAAGTGCCAGCCAACCACTATCCTGAAGGCTGTGCTTCTGGGCTGCCCAAGTCTAGAGAAGTCCACGAGGAATCTGCAGGTTGGAGATCAACTGCCCACTGTGGACAGTCCTCCTGGGGTTGGTCAGGCTCCATTCAACCTGCTCGAACCACTGGGAAGTCCTGCTCCTTCCCCAGTGCTGGCTCATGTCTGGGAAGGGGGTGGGCAGGGGACGGGTAATCTCCAAGCTAGAACTCTGTCTACCACTCTGCGGTCTCAGGGCCTCCTGCTTGTTTTGAAAGAACTGCTCTGCCTCCACTAAAGCCATCGACAAAGAAATTAAAATGAGCCTGTGTCACAGAGCTGGCCTCTCAGAGCACGGACATCATTTTAACCAACACTCTCTTGGAAAGATCCCTGCAAAACCAGAATCATTCAATAATGGAACCTATTATTTGTAATTAATGTAAATGTAATTCTGATTTGCTCATTTGTAAATTGTCATTTGCTGTGGACCTATGTTAAGAGTATAACTGCAACGTGCTCTTAGCAGAATACAAGAGAATTTTTTTTCTTGGCACCCAAGGGTCACCAAAGGGAGAACACAGCAGGGCTCACAGAAAGACACTGGACCAAGGCCTGGGAGACCTGGATGCTGAGCCCATGCTGCTGCTCACTACCTGGTGGCCCTGGGCGTGTCACTTTCTGTCTCTGCTTCCTGTCTGCAAAATAGGGGAAATGATCTCTGCCCAATTCTGTCACCCAATAGAGGTCTAAAGTGACAGCATGCAGGAGAGTATGGAACTGATGTAGCACAGAAGTTCCAGGTCTCATGTGGACACTGGTTCTCTTTCCCTTCAAGGCCTGACCACACTGCCCCAACCTGTTCCTCGGGTGGTTTGACATTCCCTGGACACTAGGAAGATGGCCACTCTCAACTTTGCAATGCATCCGGTTGGGTCTTTACTGGAACACAAGGTTATTTTTAAGGATCATTATGGTTAAAGGGTTCCAAGTTTTTCCTTGCCTCTTTTAGGCCCCAGGTTTCAGGACACAGAAAGAAAGCTAATGCAGGTCTTGGAGACGTCAGAATCAGGAGTCAGCCCTTGGAAACGAAAACACGGTCCTGGCTCTACGTCTTCCAGCAGCGCAACGTGGCAGGGATGTTCGTGAGTCACAGATTTATGTCCTGCCTGCACTTGGCCTAAGACAATGACAACTGAAAGACATCAGTGCTGAGACAGGAGCTGGACGTCCTATAAATGAGGGCATGCTGAACTGGCTCAACAGAAACCCAGGAGGGATTCAGCGGGTCATGTGCATTATGCTGAGTCCACCCTCACAGTGCCAGAGGCTGACAGCCAGGGCCAAGCCTCTTGACTGACTGTCTGTCCAGCTTGTCCCCGGGCCACGTTTTTAAAAAGAAAGTAACTGAAGCAATATTAAGATCGTTAGGGAAATGGAGAAGGAACTGAAAGCCCAATGCTTCTGTGAAGTGGTGTTTTCCTTGCTGACCCCAACTTACCTTTCCCCTTAGGGGAGCCCCTACTGCTCTCAGCTCCTGGGCTGCCACGGTGTTAGAGCTGGACGAGGCCACACAGTCTGGGACCCAAGTTCCTCACCTCTACCTACAAGGTGATCACCAAACTCTTCGATGAGCAATGAGCAGGGATCATTGGTCTCAAATGCAGAGGGACAGAGCAGCCCACCATGGTAGTGGCCCTACTGTTTCCAGTGTTTCCTACAGTCACTGTTATCGAATGCATAAGTGGCTTTGACAACTCTATCCTCTTATGAACATATCACCTGAGCATGCTCCAGTCAGTCAGATGGTTCCTTCTAGATCAATAGGCCACCTGATAGACAGGAGTGTTGGGCATCAGAAGACCCAAGTTGAGGTTTTTGGAATCCCAGTGCCCACTGCTCCTGGGCAGTCACACAGCCAGTCTGCTGACAGGTGGACTGACCTGGTCTGAGAAGAATCCCCTTTAGCCCACTGCTGGGCAATGGGGCCAACCCATGGCCAGCCCAGCTCCCCGGTCTTCTCGCCAGTAAGGAGCTGCTACCAACTGTGCTCTCAGGCAGCTGGAGCTCTGGGGCAACGGCAGGGCCAGCAGCTCCCTATCTCAAATCACCAAGAGGGCTGACTACTCTTTCCACTTCCTAGCTCCCATGAGCCCAGTGTATTCAACCCGAGCGGCCCACTCAGCCTGCAGGTCTTCCCTCCAGTGCCCTGGAGCTCCAGACCACCAGCCCTTCTTCCTTTCCCCACCCCAAATAAGACCTCCCTGCTCAGAGAGACAGTCTCAGCCAGGTGAAGGATAGAGCGGGACTTGTAAACGCGCCCTGGGGCCCGGGTCACTTCCGTGTGTACCCCACCCCCCTCCTCTGGCTGCTTTATCATTTACCCAAATTCAACAGGGAGAAATTCTAACCATGTGAGGAGATCCTTCTAGGGGGGCAAGTTCTCTTAGTGGTTCTCAAAGTGGGTAGGGGGACACCAACGTCACCCCCTCCCCCGAAGGGATTCAAATCATTGTGCCATGCGCAGGGCACCCTAATGACCGCCAGCCCCACTGAGAAACTCTTTTAAGAGAGGAGAGGCTACGACTCCAGTCCCTTCCTTAGCAGGGACTGAGAGGGTCAGAAGGCAGACCTGAGCAGATCTCCTCTGTCGCTAAGGCCAAGGCTCAACCAGTTTGAGCTGACTCTGCCTCGAGGGCCTGTGTGACTTCTTTCTTAATTGTCCAAACCCATCATGGGATCCCACCCTGGATCCCAAGCCGTGGGCAGCCCCTATACCAGGGACAGCCAGCGGTCCTGGAATCCCCAAGCCACAGGCCTCCATGCCTGGAGAAGAAGGGTGGTCCCAGCATCAGAGACGCCCAGGGACAGAGCACCATAGATGGGCTCCTGGGGGGGCCTCAGACCAGCTTCTGCTGCTTCCAGTACCACCCTCCCTGCCCCAGGCAACCCAAGCCAGTCCGTGAGTTTGACCACACAGTCAGTTGCATTCATGTCTGATAATTACCCAGTGCACCAGGACGCTGGACTGCTCCACAGGGGTCCAATGGACTCTGCTGGGTGGCTTAATTAAAACACTAAATTCTGTTCATATGTTTGAGTGAACAAATATTTATTAAGCACCTACTTTGTGCCAGGCACTGCTAGGCACCCTCACCATGTGCTGTTCCCACAGCACAGTAATCTGCTCAGAAATGAAAACCAAGAAAAGGAACATTGTTGCAACCCTACAAACGGGAGTGGGTGGAAGGGGGTCGAGTGGATAGGTGATTCCCATGCCAGAAAATACACCCACCAGAAACTTGTTTTCTTTTTCTGGACAAGTCTCTACCAAGTGCTTGTTTTAAAGCATCTCAATATTTACTGAGAGGGAAGTTGTCACCTCCATGCCCCACGCACTGGTGCCTGGTGGGCATTCAAACACTCTGAACGCTATTCAGAAAAAGGAGGTGTAAAGGATATTCATATTTGGATTAGAAAATACTTTTTTCAGTTCATATGGTTGCAACAGCCCTTAAGAAAGATATAAACATCCCTGCCCTAACTGCGTAAACATTTAAGGTAGACCTAGTTCTGGATTCCTGAGTCAGAATCTTCCAGTTGTCCACAACCTCGCAAGGCCAGACAAGCGAGAGATTTCTATTCTGGAGAGGAGAGAGTGGACGGCACAACTGGTTTGAAAACACGACAAACTGCGCCTGCACGTACAGAAGCAACGCAAACGGGAGAACGTCCTAGTCCTACTTCGTGTCACACACACACTGGGGACTCACGAGCGGGCCCAGGGCCGCCCTAGTTGTCCACGCCCAGCTTGGAGAGGCCTCGGCGGAAGTCGTGGAGGTCGTCGATCTTCCCATCCAGCACCTCCAGGAAGTTCTTTAGCTCCACCTTCAGGTGGCGCTGTCGGTATTTACTCTCCTCAACGTCCGTCTTGAGAGAACGCACTTTGTCTTCCAGGTTTTGATTGTCTCTCTCTGCCGCCTGAAGCAAAACAAAAGGGAGAAGGGTCTGGAGAACAGAGTGATGCGAGCTGTGCGTCCGCTGAGACCTGCTACAGCCAAACTGTCCACTCTCCTGTGGGCCTGAGTCCCCAGACGTGTTAAGTCCCACAGCACACAAGTGGGGACCGCTGATGGCAGCATGGGGCATTTCAGTGTACCCCTCCTTTCCTGCCTGCTCCCTGGGAAAGGTGCCCACAGGCAGAGTGTACGACCAACATCTGGTCTGAAAAACAACGTCCCTACACAGAATGCAGAACTTGGAGTCCTGCCTGGGGGAGCTTGATGCTAACGACCCTCTGACACAAGGTCCAGCAGAGAAAGTCTGAAATCCCAGCACAAGGGATTTCCACCCCAGGCCCAGAGTAGTCAGCAGAGGCTACCTTTCAGTTCCGTTCTGAGGGAGAAACAGAACCAATGGGAGAGTGACTTGTTCCTCTAGTTCCAGAGAGGGGAGGCCTTTGGCCCCAGGGGAGGACTGGCTGTGCCAGACTCAGGGACAGCCGGTCTACGCACCATGCGTCTGATGTGTTACCATGGAGACCTTCAAGCTCCCAAAGGCAGGACGGCAGGAGTCCTTAAACAAGGCTCAAGCTTTGCACTCTTCATATCAAATAAGAGCTTCTGTCTTATGAGTGGGAGGCTTTTTTGAACATCTGTACAGGAACCAGTTACTAATACTGGGGTTGCGTACCTGAACACAGTGCTCCTGAAGGGAGGAGGCCCTGGGAGGTGAAGGAGGACGTGAAAACCCTCCTTTTGCGGATCAGAAATCCGAGGCCAGCGAGGGGGGGCCTGCTCAAGGTCGTGTCCAAGGTCGGTGGCTAGGGAGTGGCGAGGTGGAACAGCACCCGGGTCTGATGCTCTCAGCCCCCTCTCTGCTGTCCCCGCTCACCGCCTCTCCGGCTCTGTAGGGACTTCTGTGGGTGGGAAATAGTCACCTACACTATGGTTATGCACAGGACACCTTTGTACAAGGGGAAAACTCAAAAGACACGCACTGCTGAGTCCACACCCAGGGGGCAGAGATGGCACCTGGCATGCAGTTACTGCTGGCTCTTTATGAATAGAAAATTGCTCGCGTTTACTGTGCCAGGTATGAAAGGGAGAGGCCTTGGAGAAACAAGCAATGTGAAAAACGCCTTCTCGTCTGAGCCAAGATGGACGTGCTCCCGGCCCTTACCTCTAACTTCTCAGAGACGTATTCACACTCTGACATGAGCTGAGGTATGATTTCACTTTGTTTTCGGAGGTCTTTCAACTCCTACAGGAGACAGAAATTTGAAAAAGAATGTGAAAACAAGTCAGATAAAATGTACTCTTGAAAATCTCCAACTTGCACATACACCCATCGAAGCAGCTTTTGCAACCTGTACTGTGCATAAATAATAATGGCGATGATGCTGACACTTAACACACATCAGATAATTCTAAGGGCTGAGTGTGTTACATGCATTATTGCGTCAAGTCCGTACACCCCCAAAAGAAGACAGGTATTCTTACGATTCCCGTTTTGTAGATGGGGAAACCGAGGCTAAGAGAGCTTTGGTAACTTGCCCATGGTCTCCAGTGTCTGCGTACTTAGTTGTCCTGCTCCCCAGAAAATACACGATTGTATGACTGATGGCTCTTGCTGCATTAATTTCACAGCAGAACTCAACTTCTGATGATAGGTCATTTATAAAAGTTTCTGAGTATTTTGTAAAATGTTCATCCCCTCTTGGATGCGAGTGACTGACCATACGACAAATACAACGAGGCTGCAGAGGGGAACGGTTAGGCCTCTGCTCTGCAGTATCTGTGCCTTGGTGTGACTCCTGGCTCTGTCTCCGTGCTGATGTCCAGGCAGCTGCCGGGGCCGGTCACATGCCCCACAGCCGCCTGCTGTGTCCTTGTGATCACCTCACAAGGCCCAGAGGACACCGAGAGCACCACTCAGAGCGCTGTTACTCACTGTCTCCTTTTCTTGGAGTTCCGATTCCAGCTCCTCAATTCTTCTCTTCAACTGAGTATTCTTCTCCTTCTCCCTGTTTATCTCACTGCATTGTTCTTCCAGCTCGTCAATCTTCAATAAATATCACATGTTAAGGCAGGGATGCTGGTTGACTTTAAAAACATCACCACAGCTCTGTCAGCCTTCTTTTAAAATAAACCATAAACTAACCCACTTATCAATTTTTCCTTGCGGCTATGAACGAACTCCACGTGATCCCCCCCAATCCCCCCTACCCCGAAAAGCTGTCTGCCCCTGCCTGCACGAGATGTCTTACTTAAACAAGTCACAAAACCTGGCTTCAGGGTGCTACGGGCTTCTGGTTTTCTCTCACAGCCACAGGACAGTAACTTTAGGTTTGCTTTAAGGATCCATCACAAGCAGGGGTCAGATGTCCCATGAATCTATCTGCTTCTCTCCAGAACGATTTTTACATCATTTTAATCATGTCTTGAATTATTCTGTTTCATCTCAAGGGTTTAAGCCAGCAGGGTAGAGAATCGAGCAATTCTGTGGGACAGTGGCCACCAAATGGGATGTAATGACATTTCAAATATTTTATATCAGGATGACCTTTCCCTATTGATGCATGCAGAAGGGGCTGGGCTGTGGGCCTCTTCCTGGAGGGATGAGAGGTACAGGCTGAACTGGCAAATGCCCAGAGTGCATCTTTCTCTCCTTCCCAAGCCTGACCCCTCAGAAGGGATGCAAAGGCCTGAGACCCCCGGCACTGCCATCTGATGCTGAGGGTTTCCTGGGGGCCGATGTGTGGGCACAGAGTAGACAGGAGGAGTGGAACCAACGCACTATATTGATGGGGTCCCCACAAGCAATATAGCAGCAGTCTTTGAGGTGAAGGGCACTGGGTGGTCACCATGAGGACACTTCTCAGGGGTGGCCTGCACCAACCCTCAGGGTCTGAACCCCCAGCCACAGCAGCTGCTGTAGACTCCACCAACTTCTTCCTCCTATCCCGGAAATCAAGTTTTCAGTGCTTCCCATCCAGGGAAGCTGACACTCTTCTCAGGGAGCAAGTTCTATGAGACGCACTTCCCCCCTCCACCAGCACTGCTGTTGGTTCTTACACTCAGGCGCAAAGTGAGAAATCCAGCTCTTTGCTTGGAAAAAAAAGAAAGGGCAATTGATCCCTCTGGCAAGCAGATCGGCCAGGCCTCAGAAGGGAATGTGCCAAGTCAGCACTTGGCCTGGGCTCCTCACTGCCAGCGCTCTCGGGAGGGAAGTGAAACAATGACACAAGGCAGTTTTACATGTCAGCTGTACCGAAGTAAGTCGGTGAAACAGAGGAGTGGTCGCTGGTGGCTCTGTGGGTTGGGTGGGCAGGTTATAAACAGGGGGCAAGGGAGAGTGAAGACCAATCTTACTGTGACATGTCCCACTGAAATCCTGCACTTACAAAGCAGCCTTTGTTCACGGCCTGTGGAGTAAATGCGCTGACCATCAAAACACAGTCAGCACAGCGACCTTGCGACCTCAACTGAGGATCCTCTGGCCACCCGAAAACTACCTCATCAACTCAGCCCAGCTACAAAGAGTCTGGGTGACTAAGTACAGGGAAGGCTGCAGGTGAATTCTGAAAAAATCAAAATGTTTGATGTCAACGTAAGAGAGCAGAGGGCACACGATGGCCGTCAGCACCCACCCACCTCGTACAAGTGCCACATTCCTTTTCTCACTTCCAAATTCACATTTTTAGAAATAACGATTTGCGTGGAAGCGGGGTTTCTGAGCAAACACTCCTCATGATTTCCTGAATCTATTTTCTTCACTCACCCTCTGGATCCCTTTTCTCCACCAAAGATCACTGAACCACAGAAAATGCCAAGGGAGGGCCACCACAAGAAAAGGCCCACCCACAACTAGCATCAGATGGTGCTCTTTGTGAGGGACAAAGCCGAAGCGTCTCATTTATCTTCTCCTTCACAACAGAAATTATAAAACTTGGTTCAATAAAAGTAACAAATCAGTTATTTATCGTACGGTTGCATTCCTACCAAGACAGGCAGGGAGACAGAGGGAAGTTCAAGGGGGGAGAGGCAGCAAGTCTTCCTCCTGTCTGTGGGCATGAGGGCGAAGTGAGAGGGAGGAAGGAAGGGGAGAGAGAGAGAGAGTGTGGCTGCCCTCTCCCAGGGCCGCCTCCAGCTAGCCTCGGACCCTCCCTCCTGCTGGCTGCTCCTCCGCTAGGCTCACCCAGCGCCCACCTTGTTCCGGAGCCGGTCATTCTCATCGCGGCAGATGGAGAACTGCCTCTTCCACTGCTCCACGCTGGCAGCCGACTCCTGCAGCGCCGCGGTCAGCCGGGCATTGCTCTCTCGCAGGGTCTGCAGCTCGATCTCCCATTTCTTCACGTTGACGGCACTGCAGGGCAGGGGCCAAGAAGTGACCGAGATGGCAGGCGCCATCCATCCTGCTGCACCCCCACCCGCCTGGGGAAGGAGGATCCTGCCACCCCCTCAGTTTGCCCCTAGGAGGGCCACACCCTCTCCCACTGGTGGCCTGGCTGCAAGGACCAGGGCCAAGAGTGACTGGTGTGGCTCTCTAGTGCACACATGTCACCTTGCTGAGCTATTTTCTTAAAGAACCACTTTAGAAAACAACAGAATTCTTCTAGAAGGAAGAGATGAAGCTAAGAATGAAGCCCTTGAGTATGGTGAGACACTCCTCCCTCCTACTCCCTACTGACTCCCCACCACAGAAGGGTTCTCTCACATCCGGTTCATTCCTGAAATGAGCCTCAAGGACAGAGGTTCTGAAGTGCTGGGCAGACCACTGGGCCCTCTGAGAATCTCAGGGAAGCTCCACGGACCTTTCTGCAAGTTCCTGACACTCCTCTCCGGAGCCCAAGGATCCCAGGTTCAACAAATACACAAGCCTGGCTGCAGGTGATATGGGTCCCACTGTAACTTGTGTCTTTAAACTTAGCTCAGAGCCTTAAAGGAATCCAGATTTGAGAGCTGAGGACTTGAGGACATGGGAGTCAGTGACCAGGAATCCCTTGAGGGCAGAACTGGGGTTCTAACCCCAGTGTGTGTAAGGGAGCCCTAGCCACCCCAACGTCACCTCAGGGGCGTGGCAAGACCACAGGGCTGAGGGGCACCTCCACGGTACCACGAAAACCTTGTATTTATCTTTGATCCTATGTGTTCAGTGAAGAAGTTTTAAAAAACAAATGAACTGGAATCAGGGTCCCCTCAGTTGCTGTTCGCTTTTGACACTCCTTTCGTTTCCTTGCTTGGAGTCCATGTATCTGTGGTGCTGAATGTGACCTGAGGTGACAGGCAGAGCTGCGCATGACAAGCCCATCACAACGTTTCAGGCGTCTAACAACACCGCCTGGCTGAGGAGAGTTCTCTCTAAAGGCTTTTGTTTTTTTTAAGTAAATAAAACTGTATCTGAATAATCTGTATTACCTTTCATCCCGCAGCCTCAAGGATTTAGGAATGTGATTGGAAAATATATACTTTCAGTTTCAAATACCACAGACTGGAAGAACAGTAAAATATTACCTGATTAATTTTAGAGTTGATGATGGAGAATTTAAGGAAATGGCTTCACAGCCACTCCTGTAATTCACTTCTTCATTAAATTGAGATTTAAAAACACTTATTTTAGGGTTGAAACATTTTTATTCAGGCAGCTCATTGTGACTTAAACGACTAAAAATAGCACCTATAATTGCCTGATGAGTAAGAAAAGAGACTGGTCACAGTTTTGTCCTTTGAAGTACCTGACAAAACCCACAATCCAAAGAAGGTGGCTGAAGCTAAAGGTCACATGTTCCTTCTGGAATTCCTAGGTCAGATCACAGGAATTAAGTTCCAAGAACTGGCCAGGCCAGCTGAGTTGGAGAGGTGGGTGCCAACCCTTTGGTGGCTCCAGCTGTGGGATATGACTGGCCACCTCAGGGAAGGTTCCTGAAGAGACTACAGCTGCAGCCTTACCTGAAAGGAAGGTAGTATGGGGTGGTGGAAAGATTTACTAGCCATGTGACCTTGGGCAAGGAAGGACTCGCTTTACCACTTGGGACTCAGTTTCGTCATCTGTAAAAGGGGGAATTCATATGATACAGCTCTTAAACAGGGCAACTCTGAGGAGAGCAGCTTCTCAGCCACAAAGAGGCTGGGGGAACCTGGCCAAACCCCCTGCCAGGTGAGCAGGATTCCAAAAGACAGCAGCTCTGAGTGTGCTAACGGGGCGAGCCCACACCGTGAAGTCCAGCCTAGCCTTTGGGAAATGGGCCACATTCTCAAGATAAAAAAACACAAGCACAGGGGCCGCCTGGTGGCACAGTGGTTAAGTTCACACACTCTGCTTCGGTGGCCCAGGGTTCGAGGTTCAAATCCCAGGAGTGGATAGACGCACTGCTCATTAAGCCATGCTGTGGCAGCATCCCACAGACAAAATAGAGGAAGACGGGCATGGATGTTAGAGCCAATCTTCTTCTTCAAAAAAAACATAAAACAAAAAACAAAAAACCACACAAGCGCTCATTAAAACTAAAATCTTGTTGATATCATTATGGGGACTGTATTAAATTTATAGATCAATTTAGGGAAACTGATACTTTTCAAAATATCAAGGCTTCCTACCACTTCCCAACAGAATATATCTTTCTATTTGTTAAATTATTCATTTATGGTCCTCAAAATCATTTTAAAGTTTTCTTCACATAGATCTTTGCATTTCTTAAGTTTATTCCTGTGTATGTTACGGTTCTGGTTTATATTGTAAAGAAAATCTCTTCTTCAAATATATATTCTATGTGATGTTTGTATATAAAAAAGCTATTGATTTGTGTGAGATTTTATATTATTTTTAATAGTTTCTTAGGCTTTTACATGTTTTTCTGGATGTTCAAGATTCAATCTTATCATATACAAATAAATGATAATTTTGGCTCCTCAAAAAACAAAACAAAACACAAGCACAGGGACACATCTCTCTCACATACACACACTCTTTCACACACTCATGTACTTTGTCACATACTACTCACATACACGCATGCAAACACAGTCACTCTCTCTCACACCAACACACTCACACACATGAATTGTGTATGATGTGGTCTGTCAGACAGAGAACAGCCATGAAGCCAGTGGTCTACCTTTGGCCAGGAGACAAGACTGGATGACGCTCTGAGCAGAACTCAGTCTCCTTTCTCAGTTTCGTGAACCCCCACCCAGCAGGAAAGTCTTCAGGGAACTGCTGAACTTGGAGATAATAGCATCTGGATTTTAAACACCCTTACCTCTGTGTCAAAGCGATCTTCAGCTTGTCATTCTCAGACTTCAGGTGTGTGTCAGGACCCGCATGAGAGGCCTTCTCATCGTCCGTCCCATTGACACTGGATGCCTGAGTAGAAGATGGGGTTTCACACCCAGATTCCTGGCCAAAGCCAATCACCTTCACACATTATTGCTCATCCTCACAGCGGCAGCAAATCAGGCATGAGAAAGTGTGTTTATGAGTGTGGGAGAACCAACATCCAACCAGAGTGCGGCTAAGACTAATAACAAAGAGGATCAAGAGCGAAGGAAAAGGCCTGAAGTGTCCACAGAGTTCAGAAAGTCTGTGCACTGTCCTGACAAGAGAGCAGCCGGGGCCGTCATTCAGAGCCTTTTCACTCAACTTTACAGACAAATCTAACAAGCTTGGATACCTGATCTCCTTAAATGATAGAGAACAGAAGCCACAGATTAAAAGGGGAGGAGGGATTTACAACAAGGAACAAGAAACAATGAATGAGGAGAGAAAAAGTATTAGAAGCTGAGACAACTTAAAAACCCTGGGGCTACAGAGAGTTAGATCAACACACTCATTAAAAAAACAGGAATCAGGGGCTGGCCCCGTGGCTTGGCAGTTGGGTGCGCGTGCTCCGCTACTGGCGGCCCGGGTTCGGATCCCAGGTGCACACCGACGCACCACTTGTCCAGCCATGCTGAGGCCGCGTCCCACATACAGCAACTAGAAGGATGTGCAACTATGACATACAACTATCTACTGGGGCTTTGGGGAGAAAAAAGGGGGAAAAAAAAAAGGGAGGAGGATTGGCAATAGATGTTAGCTCAGGGCTGGTCTTCCTCAGCAAAAAGAGGAGGATTGGGGGGCCGGTCTGGTGGCGCAAGCAGTTAAGGGCACGCGCTCTGCTGCAGCAGCCCGGGGTTCAGCGGTTTGGATCCTGGGGGCGCACTGATGCACTGCTCGTCAGGCCATGCTGTGGCAGGCGTCCCATGTACGGTGGAGGAAGATGGGCATGGATGTTAGCCCAGGGCCGGTCTTCCTCAGCAAAAAGAGGAGGCTTGGCAGATGTTAGCTCAGGGCCGATTTTCCTCACCAAAAAAAAAAAAAAGAGGAGGATTGGCATGGATGTTAGCTCAGGGCTGATCTTCCTCACACACACACACACAAAAACAAAAAAACAGGAATCAGATATGGATGTTTGCTGTCTCCATTACTATTTAGCATTGCTATGAATATCCTGAAATGTTTTCTGTGATAAGTCATACCACATAGAGGTGAAATCTCATTTGGTCTTGGAGAAGATCTTAGAAAGACCTTATTCAGCCCCCAGTAAGCATAGAGGCAAAGGAAGGAACCATGAAGGGAATGATGTATAAATTTGACTCACTTTAAATTTCTGCATTGCAAAAAAATGCCATAAACAATATTGGAATGCAAACAAAAACACGGAAAAAATATTTGCAGCAGATACTAATACCAGAATGTTAATATCTTCCCTATATTAAAAAACTCTTAGAGTCTTCATCTTTTAGTGCTACACACTGAAATATTTATGGATGAAATAAGATGCCTGGGATTTGCTTTAAAATATAGGGGGAGACAGAGGGGGTGTAGATAAAACGACTGGTCACAAATTCCTAATTGTTAAAGCTGACCTACGGGTCCATCGGGTTCATCACACAACTCTGCCTAGCTTTGTATACGTTCAAAAATATGCATGTGAAAAAATAAAGTTCTTGAAAATCAATACAAAAAGATTAACACTTTAATTTTTTTAAAAAAGGAAAGAATACGCAATTGACATTTACAGAAGAAATGCATGGGCTCAACAAACAAAAAAAATATTTACTATCACTAGCAAAGAAATACAAAATGAAAAAAGCCAATAACATATTTTTCTTCTGTCAAATCATCAAAGCTTTGTTGGTGAGGCTGTGGGAGGAAAAATCATTCTCATTCACTCTTAGTGGGAGTTAGAATTGTACATTTCATTTCTATTTATTATTTTTTTTGGTGAGGAGATCAGCCCTGTGTCAACATCTGCCAATCCTCCTCTTTTTTTGCTGAGGAAGACTGGCCCTGTGCCAACATCCATGCCCATCTTCCTCCACTTTATATGGGACACCGCCACAGCATGGCCTGCCAAGCAGCGTGTTGGTGCGCACCTAGGATCGAACCGGCGAACCCACGCGGAGTGTGCGCACTTAACTGCTTGCGCCACCAGACCGGCCCCTAGAATTGTACATTTCTATAGGCTAAGTTTGCAGAATTCATCAAAAGCTTTTTAAATGTTCCTACCTTTAACCCAATACTTTCACTTCAAGAATTGGTTCTGCAGAAGACATCAAATGCACAAAGATGTACAAGAACGTTGATCATGCTGTTATTTATATTAATAAAAAATTGGAAACAACATAGATGTCCCAAATTATAGGAGGTTAATGGAATAAGCTGTGATACAAACACTGGAATACTGTCTAGCCATTAAAATAGTTTTGAAAAGGGGATATTTGAAATCATGAGAAAATGATCATAACATATCTAAGTAAAAAAAAAAAGTTAAAAAGAATAACATAAAATATATTGGAAAACTACATTAGGAAGATATACCAAAATATTAACAAAATAGCTTTGAGTGGTATGAAAGCAGGTAATTCTTATTCTCTTCTTCATAGTATGGCATATTTTTTATTTCTGCAATAAATATGTATTGCTTTTATAGTCAGAAAAAAACCCACATTAAATGATTTGTAATGAGGTTGTTCAAAGTCTTCAAATATTTGGAAAACTTGGCCAAAGTGTTCATTTACTTAGAGATTCAAGAAACCAAGCAATTGTATGATTTCTAACAAAAAGAAAAAGAAAAATGTACGATGAGCTCTACATCTGGGGAAACATCAGGAAGGGTAAATAAAAACTTAGAGGTAAATAAAGCTTAGAGGCAAAAAACTATATATAATTAACACATACATATAAAATAATATATTATGGGTACACTTGATTTTTTAAGGTTTAAAACACTTTTGGGGGGAAAACAAACATTAAAACAAAAACTTGAAAGAAATTCAGGGGGCCGGCCCTGTGGCACAAGCGGTTAAGTGCGCGCGCTCCACTGCGGCGGCCCGGGGTTCGCTGGTTGGGATCCCAGGCACGCACCAATGCACCTCTTGGCAAGACATGCTGTGGGGGCGTCCCATATAAAGTGGAGGAAGATGGGCACACATGTTAGCCCAGGGCCAGTCTTCCTCAGCAAAAAAAGAGGAGGATTGGCAGATGTTAGCACAGGGCTGATCTTCCTCACAAAAAAAAAAAGAAGAAGAAGAAGAAAGAAATTCTGATATTAAAGTTTAAAGATATTGCTATAATATGTGGTATTCAGAAAAAGATTGTATATTAGAAACTCTTTAGACCATGGACCATTTCAGGTACCCAATTTTATAGATCCTCAGAGATTACTCAGTACAGTAATTCGTATACTAAATTAACAGTATCATTTAGATTTATACTAAAAATTATTTATAAAGATTCAGGAAAGTTCTTGATCACCTGACGTCTAATGTACATTCATCTCCATAAATCCATGTGAGGCATCTTGTGTATGATGCAGCCTCAGCCACGGCTGCTGTAAGGCTGACGGTCAAGTCTAGAGTATTGATCCTGACTACTCGAGATGCCCAGGCTTCCCGGGCCTCTTCCTACCAGTTGTCCCTGGCATCCATCCCTGTGGCTGCTCTGGCCCAGCTGTTCTCCACCTCCAGCCTCCTTGCCACCAGTCTTCCTTCCCTCCATCACTCCCTGACTTCCTTACCATCCACATGCAACCCTCATGTCGATTCCTGTTCCGTAGTCATAAAACACCTCCAATGTCTGCCAACTTCCAGCAATAAATAATTAAATAAAAAACTAAGAAATAATAAACTATCCACTAATGAAGAATTCCAGGTCTTTCACAGTATCTCCAAGTTTATCTCTGTTCCTCCCACAGCACACCTCAGCCCAGCCAGGCAGACTCCTGGCTGTCTTGCTATTACATCATGCCTATTCCTAATCCCAAACCTTTGATCTTGATGTCTCCCTTTCCCTGTCTATCTACACATAACCTTGTCACTAGGTGAAGCCTTCCGCCCACCACTACATATGCCAATCTAGACATCAGGAATGCAGGTGTTTTTATTTCAGGTTAAAATAGGTCCCTTTTAGTCACTTATCACACTTTTAAGTAGAGGGACTACTCAATTCCTGGCAAAGCCACATCTCCTTTGGCTAAGCCAAAGCTGTTGGAACACCATCTCCCACCTGACTTTGTTAAAATAGGCCAACAGAGATGAGGGCTCTCTGGTATCAATCAAGTTTTCTCTCTCACGGGCACAAGGCACCTGCATTTGTCAATAAGCATCCTTCATATAGATCTCACCTCCCAGCAAAGAAGGGAGACATGCTGCCTTGCCATTGGGATTTAAACACAGGGACCAGAGAATGCCTGTCAGAGGCCAGGGACACGTATTAACTCTAATCTCATCAACTGTTTCCTGTCAAAAATACATCATCGTATCCTGAAAAATTCAAGAGTCTCATAAAAACATATCACATCCATCTCACTGTGAGCCAGCTAATAGTTGAAAAAGCCTTCAAAATGCCCTGCTGCTAAAATTCCCTATTTTTTGTCAAAAGTGACAAGAAACAAAGAATCTCCATCACTGATCGCAGTCAGACTTACTTTATGGACAAACCACTTACTTGGGAATGATTACTCGGGGTCTCGATTTTCTCGTGGGACTTGTCTCTGGCTAGTCTGGCCGCTTCTTTCACTTCCTGGAATTTCTCTGCAAACTGAACACAAAGAATAGTTAACGAGGTTTTTCGTAACCTTATACACAGCTGATATTCAGAACCTACGTTTATTATTTTGCATTCACTTTAAGCCAATAAATTCTGTATAAATCCAGAAGAAGAATCTTATTTGAGATTAGAAAGAAAGGAATATAAGGAATGCTTTTCCAGGAAACACTGTTAGCCAAGGTCAGATCTGAACCTATTTCTAAGCTATTAAAGCTAGTTTGATGATGAAGTATTAAAAACAAACACTTCTGGTCAACAGTAACTAATGCAAATACAAGAAAAGAAATTTATCTGTACCACAAAAAGAATCCATGAAAAACTTCATAATCTCTATCAAAAGATCCAAGAACTCTTACAAGTCACTGTCACGAAAAACAAAAAGTTGGGGAGAAGGAACTGTTCTAGATTTTAAAAGCTTAAGATATAAAATAGTAAAATGCAGCATGTAGCCTATGAGTCAATCCTGTTCCAAACAGACCAACTATAAAAGACTTCCGGGGAACAATGGGGGAAATCTGAACACAGACTGGATTAGATGACATCAAGGAATTACTATTAATTTTATCAGAAGTGCTAATGATGTAGTTATGTTGGAAAATGTCATTATTTTTTAGAGATAAATACTGACATTTTTAGGCATGAAATGTCTTGATGTCTGTAATTTACTTTAAAGTACTTCAACAACAATAAAATAGATGAAGAAATGTGGCAAATGTTAACAACTGTTAAATCTAGGTGATGTGTATATGGGTATTTATTATACTATGCTCTCTATTTTTTTTAAATGTTTTAATATTTTCATAATAAAAAAGTTCTTAAAATCCCAGGACAATCACATCAATCACTGGCTTATAGTTACTGACAAGGCAACTGATTTTAATTAGCAACTACACTGTTCAAACAAAGAACATTCTGTGATAGATAATGCTGGCATTAAAAGGCAAAAGAGACCTAAACGTGGTTGCTGAGAAACAAAAAAATCTAGCAAGTTGCAAGGCTACCGGCAATTCAGTGGCTTTTTCCAAGAACGCATTGATTTCTGAGCAGAGGCTACACTCCGAGTATCTTCCTAATGCCGACAACAGTGGTCTGCTTTGGGAAACCCTACTGGACGACAGACACTGGTGAACCAAGCCCCTGTCGAAGCAGAAAAGGCCAGCTTTTCTGTTCTGGCCTGTGTTGCTTCCACAGGCCTGTAAATAAAGCCACAGCCACAGGGCTTCATATTTAACCATTCCAGAGCTCAGAGGAAAATCACATTACCTGTTGCTTAAACCATGTGAGGTCCAGCAAGGATGGACAAGGCACCAACCCTCCCTTTTCGGGGCTCCTTTAAGTAAAAATATCATGTCATGTACTCCTTGACAGCAGAGACCATGCCTTTCCTCTTTGCACCCGCCCTCCACTCCTGGCAGAAAGCAGGCACAAGCAGGCTTGTTCAGTGAATGAACGAACTCTAGGCTCCAGGTTTGCACACCTCGGCCACTTGAAAAAAAAAATCATGTCAAAGGTGCAGGCCTAACCTAAGAAAGGTACAGCTCTTCCTCGGCCAGATAACCGAGAACGCAGCTCAAGGAGGTACTGTGGTCAGCGTCTGGGAGTATTCTGCCCCGTCTTTCTGCTTCCTAAGCTGACCTGATTGGATCAACCTAGGAACTAGGGAGGGCATCTTTCACAATATGAAGCTTATCCCAGAAGAGATTATGCACAGGTACCATAAAGGCTTTCAATCTTATTAAGACATTAAAAGATGCAAATTTTAAAGGTATTATTTTAAATGTTTTGTGCCTAGTATCAAAGTCAAATATGATTTGAAGAAAATTGTAGCACACAAGGTTCGCAATAGACACCCCTGCTAATTGAGTCTTGCCCATGCTGTGCTCAGTAAGGTCGGGGCTGGCTCTCTCCCCACAAGCCTCTCAATGCTTTACCAGGCTCCCAAATCAAAAGTGCTCTGTTTTTTACAGATCCTTCCCGTCTCTGTCAGGTCCCTTTCTCTCAGGGGTCTTATTCAAAGTTGCTTGTAAACTAGATTGGACATGTCATCAGCCAGTGTCATGCTCATTTAGTCACCAAACATGGTCCAAGCACCACTCCCCCTTTCAGTGAACAAATATTTCCACTGTACCTGAACTGGGCCGTGCACATAGCTGGGTGCTGGGGCATGTACACTGTGTCAGCATCAGATACTGCTCCTGCCTCCCAGAGGGCCAAGAGTTGAGTAGTAAGAGACAATGGCAAACAAGTCAGTAAATAAAGTTTTGTAAGGCTTTGATAGAACAAGTTGCCTCTGGACAGAGCTTGGGGCCTCCATTCTGTCTGCCTTCTCCTACCTTACCCTGAACATCCCCAAATGGTGCAGACCTTAGCTCAACTCTTGGAGACTCTCAGCCCAGGGCACAAACCTTCAGTTCCAATGGGCTCTTCTCTCTTTGTGCCCTGACACCCATCATGGTGGCCCTTCCTGTTGTCCCATAGTCCTTGCCTTGGATGGGCATACTTACCACCCTCTTCCCCCAGACCCTCAGCACAACCACGTCTATACGTTAAGGAGTTTAACGGCTTCTTGACACACATTCTCTCGTTTGCTCCTCATCACCATTTCTAGTTTGTAGGACAAACTAGAACAGGAATTCTCATTTCTAGTTTCCAGAGAGGTTAAGACTTGTCCATGGTCACATGGCTAGTAAATGGTAAACCCACACCTGGGCCCAGATCTGACTTCCACACGATCATTCTACATGCCCAGTTACCTCCTTGTGCCAACAGGAATGCCAAGAGTCTTGCCCATAGCAGTTGCTAAACATTTATTGATCGGATTTTCCATTTGTAAAGAGAAGCCCCATCACCTCAAAATGTAAAACAAAATCGTACTCACTCTCTTTTTAAAAGAAAATTACTTATAAAATAGACCATGGGAATCTTTAAGGCAAAGACAGAAGATCAGACATGGGGTAAGGGGCCCGGATTACAAGTTCTGATTTCACAGCTCTCCTCAGCTACCTTGTTTAACTGTCCTCCTTCTCAGTTATAAAAGGGAGACAACGAGCAACTGTCACATGTACATCAAAACACACATCCTTACAGGACTTCAAGGTGATAATGCCGTTATAAATAATAACAGCCTAGAACCTCTTAAAAAAAGGAAAAAAGGACATGTATTCTTGGCTCATAGGGATGAAATAAGAGTGGTTATAACATATAGAGTCTTACCATGCACTCACAGGACCCTTAGGTACGCTTACTACTATCAATATACAGATGGGGCACAGGTGGGTTTTGTTAACTGGCCGAAGTCACACTGGGATTGAACACAGGCCATCTCACGCCAGCACTGGACGCTACAGTGTCCTATGATTTACCTGCTTAACTGCTACCTCAGCTAAGATGCCCAACCGTGACCCTTATCAGCCTTTCAAACGCAGGCAAATGAACCACTCTGAACCTCAGTTTCTTCATCTATAAAATACGGATAATACTGCTCGTCTACGGGTCACTGGAGGACAAAAGACAGGGCTCTGCTAGGTGTCTGACAAGGGTTCAACAAAGGGAAGCACAGCTCCTCTGGCCTTGATTTGACTTGTTTCTTCAAGTAAAATGACATCTAAAGCCTTAAAACCATGACCTTTAGTAAAAGAGCTCCACAAAAGGGCAAATTCATTCATTCAAAAATATTTACTAATTATTTTGATGTGTTAGGGACAGTGCTGGGGAAGCTGAAACACTTAAGAAAGACTTGGTTCTTGTCCTCAAAGAAACTCTGAGTCCATAGAGGATTTTGTTTTACATTCAAACAGGTGCGAGTCAAAAAGAAAATAAGCTTAAAACGTAATGAGGTAGGATAATATCAGATAAATTTTAAATAAATACTCATTTAAGAAGATGTATATTATCATGCATTAGTAGATGCATGATGGAAATAGCCCTACCATTTGTACAAAAATTAGCTTATGACAAAGGAGCAATCACAGATTAATGGAGAAGATTATTTAACATATAATGATAGAGATAACTGTAGTAAACTGGGGGAAAATGAATTTAAATCCTTACCACAAACCAGTAGCTTGATTAAATTATTGATGAATTAAAGGGGTAAGTATTTTTTAAAAAACAAACCTTAAAAAAATCTGTATGCAAACAAAATCGAACATTTACCAAACTTGTGCTTGAGGAGTGAGAGAGTAATTTTCTAAACTTGGAAGAAACGAAAGAAAATCACAAAAGTGACAGACTTGACTATATAACAATTTCAAGCTTTTGAATATAAAAGGAAAAAAACTAAATCAGAAGGGAAACAACAGCCTGGGGGAATATCTACAGCTAGACCAGTACAACAGAAAAAAAGGCTATTACGTTCAGTATAGAAAGTCTGTACAAAATGAAAAGGAAAATATGAAAACTCCAATATATAAATGGCAAAATTCACAAACAAAAAATACAATGAGTAGGGGGCTGGCCCAGTGGCGTAGTGGTTAAGTTCATGCACTCTGCTTCAGCAGCCCAGGGTTCGCAGGTTCGGATCACAGGCACGGACCTATGTACCACTCACCAAGCCATGCTGTGGTGGCGTCCCATATAAAGTAGAGGAAGATGGGGCATGGATGTTAGCCCAGGGCCAATCTTCCTCAGCAAAAAGAGGAAGATTGGCAACGGATATTAGCTCTGGGCTAATCTTCCTCACCAGAAATAAAAAAAAAATACGAGTAAACAACTTATAGAAAAGATCGTTCAGCCTCGCTGGAAATGCAAATAGAAATAATGAGGTACCATTCTTTGCCTGCTGAATTAGCAAACACTAAATACAACGATAATACCTGGTGCTGGTGAGAAATTTCTGGAGCATTGGCTATTGGTACAGGCCCCCTGAGAAGCAATTTGGAAATACCTATCATAAGCAAAAAAAATGGTCTTACCCACTGACTTAGTGATATTACTTCTGGGAAACTAGTCTATGAAAATAATTGAGAATATGAAAAAAAAGGCCTTCAATA